GTTTTTGTTACAGGGCACATGCACTCACCAGAAAAACAGAGACAGAAAGCAAGAAATCACCCTCCGGGCAGATGGCCATGCTGCAATTCCTTCTCCTCCATTCTCCTCTTGGGATCTTGGGCATGCACGCACACATGCCCAGCATGAGTTTAAGCCAACCAGTCTGGAACTTGTACCACAGCAGACTACATGGGAGTCCAGCGACATAGCCATTACACCAACTGCTGGTCCCTCATCTTTCTATTCTTATTCATATCTGTCTTTAAACTGGTTGTCATCACCATCATCGATAATACATTTTTCATTGCTCAATTGACCAGATCTACACTTTGATAAGGCAAAAAACTAGAGGATTAAGACCTTCATCCTGGGGTTCCATGTCCTAATTAGGGAGTATGCAGACATTCATAGATAACTAGCTGCCTACTTAATATGTCAGAACAAGTGGTATAGCTGAAGTATACTCTAGAGGAAGAAGGGGAGACCACCGTGTATTGGGGTAGTTATAAAGAAACCAAGCGGTATCAGAAAAGGTCTGGGTATGAAGAACAAAAAGAACCTAGGTAAAGAAAGAGAAGAGGGGACGCAGGCTGTATCTTCAGGAGAAACAACTTCAAATGGGAGGTTGAGTGGCCTGTTTGGAATGATGAGCAATCACATTGGATAGGACCTCACCTTGGAAAAGGATTTACATAATAAGTGATGGGAAGCAATGTACATAAATCAACTGGGGGGAGGGGGCGACCAGCGGTTGGCATAATGGCTATGTCGCTGGACTCCCAAGTAGTCAACCACAGTTTGAGTCCCAGACCTGGTGGCTTAAACTCACACCGGGTGTGTGTGCATGCATGCCCAAGATCCCAAGAGGAAAATGGAGGAGAAGGGATTGCAGTGTGGCCACCTGCCCCCAGGGGGCAATTTCTCGCTTTCTGCCTCTCTGTCTCTGTCTTTCTGGTGAGCGCACCGCCCTATAACAAAAACCTCTCAAAAAAAAAAGAAAGGGAAAAAATTAAAAATCAACTGGGGTCTGTTGAGGACAGCCTAGAATAGAGACTTCCCTTAGGGCATTTGGGGGAAGTTAAAGGAAAAAGATTCTTCATGGATTTTGGTCTGGCATGAAGAGTATAAATAGTATTTTAGGGGTATCAATCTGGAAATGAAGTATAGGGTAGCCTGGAAGTATAAGAAACTCAGAGCAGGAAGACCAGTAAGAGACTGCCAGAGTTAGCCTACTATAAGGTAAAATCTGCTAAGAGAATGATACTTCTACTGCCACTCTAATGAGAGGGTGATGAGAAAATGTGAAGCCGAAAAAGCATTTAACAAAATAATATGAATAACAGGAGCCTATTTTGACAGAGACAAAAATTATCTATTTCTGCAGAGGAAAAACATGAATATACTATATACCCAAATACTATCAATCCTACCACTGTGGGTGGTGGAATTATGGGTAATTTTTTACTTCCTTTATTTTGCTACTATATGATTTTCTGCTGTGAGTACATACAATTATACTTCCCAGATTTACTGAAATATAATTGACAAGTAAAAATTTCATATATTTCGTACTATGGAACCAAAAAGTGATACCCAGAACAAAACAAACAAACAAACAAAGTGATACTTGTGGAAATGAGGAGCCGGTACATATCCTAGAGGGAAGACCAAAGATTTTTTTTTTTCCTAGTATTTCACAGCACCCAGTAGTGTGAGACAAATTTCACCAAACAGACTTGATTAACTTTCTCACAAACAACCATCCAGAGACAGATTATATTGTGCTTTGTTGACTGCCCTAGAGCAGAATTTAACAAGTTAAATCTCTGAATATTTGGTTTTGTGTAGATCTGATATGAATTCTTGCTGAGGAGTCAAGCGAGAAGTTATCTGATCCACTAAGGACAGGAAAATTAAACATTAAAGAAATATTTGCTAAAAGTGGCTCTATCAGTTTTATTAACCCCAGTCACATTGTTTCTCTCTATAGTTGACCTCTACTAAAGGAAAAAGAGCTTGTCAAAGTTGGAAGTCCATAGTTAATCAAATTAATGTAAGCTAAGCTCTTTAGGTGAAAGGGACATGTCTCAGTCTATTACAGAAAGGTGCTTTATTAATTCCTATTGACTTAATAAGTAGACTTAAACCAACCTCTGAGACAGTGCCAGAAATGAGTGGGAATCTGCTCTACAGAAATGGAATCACTATGTAAAAACTTTGAGACATCACTAATAATTGTGGTTTGTCCCCAATATTTTGCCTTCATCCTTTGCCCTGACTCCTACTTGTTTTTGCATATCTGTGGTGATTTAGTGTGAGAAGGTGGGAGTAACACAACGTGGTATTTCTGTGGAGATACTGGTAATATTGCCAAAGGAGTAAGAATGAGGAAGGGACTGGGACAATGGAAAGAATGTCAGCCAAAATCAAATGTAGGAGATGTGGAGACACAATACTTAGCTTAATTCACTGACTGAACTCCATGGGGATGTAGTCAATTTGAGGAAAAATGTCAGGGTATTAGTTTCCCTGGGCTCCTGAAATAAATGACCACAATCTTGGTGGCTACAATAGCAATTCACTCTCTTATAGTTCTGGAGACCAGAAGTCTCAAATTAAGGTGTCAGCAGAGCTGCACTCCCTCTGAACGCTGTAGGGTACAATTCATTCCTTGCCTCTTCCAGCTTCTGGTGGCAGTCAGCATTTCCTTTGACTCCAGCTTCTGCTTTTGCCTTTTCATGGCCTTCTCCTTTACGTGTCTTTATCTCCTCTTTTGTTTCTCATCAGAGCTCTTGTGATTGGATTTAGGGTCCACCTGGGTATTCTTACTGCAAGATACTTTACTTAATTGTATGTACAGAGCCAATGTTTCCAAATAAGGTCATACTCACAGGTTTTAGAGGTTTGAGGAGGGACTACCAATTCCAACTGAATATAGTCAGTTTGGAAAAAAACATGGATTACATGAGAGAAGAGTAGGGGAAAGATGAGAAGAGGAGAAAGCAGTGGACTGGACTTGCTCTGTGGTCTGACAAGAGATACAATGAAGATATGACAAAATAGCCTAAGATTGTACAAGTGTGTGGCCTGGCCCAGAGCACAGATCTGAGCAGCTCTAACCTGATGGTAGTTTCTATGATGGGGTAAGAGAAAGAAAAGAGGTAGTGAATGAAAGTATATTAGAGTAGTTTCTACATTTTTACTATAATTTAGTAAGTTTTAATCTAAAGTAGAATGTGATAAGCTAAAGTATATATTGTAAATCACAAACAAGCATTAAGAAAATAACTTACTGAAATAGGTTTTAAATCAACAAAGTAGTTAAAACTTAACATAAAAGAAGACAAACAGGAAAGGAACAACAAAAAATATTAGAAAATAATAGCAACATGTTAAATATAAATTAAGCCACAACAATAAATATATTCAACATGAAGGGTCTAAATGAAAAGACAAAAGGAAAAGACTGTTAGGCTAGATGAAAAAAAAAGGTCCAACTATGTACTATCTATAAGATAAGTATCTTACAGTCAAAGAAAAAATAAGTTAAAAACAAAGTAATGGGAAAAGATATACTATACAAATAGTGGCCATGAAAGAACTGCCATGATTATATTATTATTTAAAAAAAAGGACTTTCTAATTGAAAATGCTATTAATGATAAAGACGGTCACTACATAAAAATAGAGCAGACAACATATCAGTAAAAATAACCATTTTAAGTATAAGTGCACTTAGAGCACCAAAATGCTTAAAACAATCAAAAACACTGGATAGGAAAAGCAAATAACACCTATATCTGGAGAATTTAATATCTTATTCTTAGTAATTGATAGAACAATCAGACTCCCTGCCAAACTGCAGACATTGAACACTTGGGCCATACTATCAACCAACTCCATAGGAGTAATGATATATAGAATTTTGTACCAAATTAATACAGAATATGCATTTCTTTCAATTATACATGGAATAGTCTCCAAAATTTACCACATGTTAGGCCAGAACACTAATCTTATTATATCTAAAAGAAATTAAACTATAAAAGTATAATTTTCAAACACAATGGAATTAGAAGTCAAAACCAGAAAGAAAACTGGGAAGTTCAATTGCATCTTTCTAATAATTCATTGGTTCCAAGAAAAACTAAAAGGGAAATTTAGAAATATTTTAAACCAAATAAAAGTGAACATAACATATTAAAATTTATGGGAAGCAGCTAAAGCAGCACTTTGAGGAAAATCAGTAGCTTTAAATAGCTATGTCAGAACTGAAGATAGTACTCAAGTCAAAAACCTAAGCTGCTACTTAAACAAACCAAAAAAAGTGCAAATAAAACAAAAACTAAGCATAAGAAAAGAATAGGCATAATGTAAAGATCAATAAAAGAAAACAGGAAAATAAATTAAAATAAAGTTGACTTTTCAATTTTCAACAAAATTGATGAACTTTTAGCTATATTGACTGAAAACAAATTTCTAAATCAGGAATGACAAAGAGGATATCACTACTGACCCTACAAAATTAAGTATTATAAGAAAATGTGAACAACATCATGCCAAAAAAAAGGAGTTAGACAGCCTAGTTGAAGTGGATAAATTCCTAAAACAGCACATATTATCAAAACTGACAGAAGAAGAAAGAGAAAATTTAAAATACATCTACAACAATCAAATAAGTATTAAGCATTCCCACAAAGAAAAATCAGGCACAGAATTCAACAGAATTGTTGAATAGTAGCAATTATTCACAAACTCTTTTGGAAAATAGAAATAATTCTCACCTCTTTTAGGTATTATTTTGTTATTTATTTCTTTAAGTACCAGACAGCATGCTCTCTCACAAGATAGAGAGAGAAAGAGAGAAAGAGAGAGAGAGAAAGAAAGCACCCTCACCTTGGAGCATGTCATACCACAATCTATTCTCCCCATTTCTCCATTCTGCAAGGATTTTGAGCATGCACACACGCATACCCGGTATGTTTCTCAAGGCATAAAGGCTGGGATTTAAATCACAGTTGGCCATGTGGGATCCGGCTTTCTATGTATAGTGCTTAACTGTTGTATAATGGGGCTGACCAACACATTATTTTGATATTGGAGGAATGAAAAGAAATTTCTTTCTGCTCTGAAAGTTTGAATCTACTTATATAAGCTAATAATATGCAGATTAAAAGGAAATAAGGCATGATAAGTTTATTAATCTTCATAAGCACGAGAGTTATGCAAAAAGCATGAGACTCAAAGAAAGACCAGATTGATGAGGCTCAGATATCATTTTCATAGGGAGAGGGACATCTACAACAATCAAATAAGTATTAAGCATTCCCACAAAGAAAAATCAGGCACAGAATTCAACAGAATTGTTGAATAGTAGCAATTATTCACAAACTCTTTTGGAAAATAGAAATAATTCTCACCTCTTTTAGGTATTATTTTGTTATTTATTTCTTTAAGTACCAGACAGCATGCTCTCTCACAAGATAGAGAGAGAAAGAGAGAAAGAGAGAGAGAGAAAGAAAGCACCCTCACCTTGGAGCATGTCATACCACAATCTATTCTCCCCATTTCTCCATTCTGCAAGGATTTTGAGCATGCACACACGCATACCCGGTATGTTTCTCAAGGCATAAAGGCTGGGATTTAAATCACAGTTGGCCATGTGGGATCCGGCTTTCTATGTATAGTGCTTAACTGTTGTATAATGGGGCTGACCAACACATTATTTTGATATTGGAGGAATGAAAAGAAATTTCTTTCTGCTCTGAAAGTTTGAATCTACTTATATAAGCTAATAATATGCAGATTAAAAGGAAATAAGGCATGATAAGTTTATTAATCTTCATAAGCACGAGAGTTATGCAAAAAGCATGAGACTCAAAGAAAGACCAGATTGATGAGGCTCAGATATCATTTTCATAGGGAGAGGGAAGTGGGATATAAACAATTTAGAAAGGTAGTAAATTATTTTTAGGGAGAATAAATGAACTTGGGAGATATGAATCAGTTTAATTTTATTTTCTTTGAAATTTTAATGAACCCAAGGGACAGAGATTATCTGTGGTAAAATCCATCTAAGTACGACTAATTCATCAGTCTACTTCCCTGCAAAGGACTTAATATTGTCTGGTTAATGTAGATTTCAAGGAAGGGGTCCAAGATAACTACATTTCTTCCAGATGAACTTATTTTAGTCTGTAAAGAAATTCCAAACAGACCCATTTCTGCACTTGGGTGATGTACAGAAACCACGAAAGATTGGAGAGATGCTAATTCTGAGGCAATATCACTGGCCTTCTAAGTTCCTTATTCAAAGTACTCCACATGACAAAGAGCCATATTTTGGAATATTGTTTTCTAAATCTCAATAATATCAAAGTAACTCAAAGACATCACAAGAGAAGGAACTACAGACCAATGTCACTCATAAACATATCTTTAACAAAATATTATCGAATCAAACCCAGCAACATGTTAAAAGCATTATAGGCCATAATCAAGCAGTCTATATGTGGGTTTAACATCTAAAATGCTATTCATGTACCATGCCATATTAATAAAATGAGGGGGGGTTAGAAATTATCATCTCAATAGATGCAAAAATATATTTAACAAAATTCAACACCCATTCATAATACAAATGCTTCCAAACAAGGAATAGAGAACTTTCTTAACCTGAAAGAGTGCATCTATGGGGACTAGCATATGGACTCCCATATAGTCAACAGCATTTTGAGTCCTGGACGTGGTGGCTTAAACTCACGCCGGGTGCATGTGCGTGTGTGCCCAAGATCCTGAGAGGAGAATGGAGGAGAAGGGATTGTGGCGTGACCATCCCCCTGGGGGGTGATTTCTCGCTTTCTGTCTCTCTGTTGCTCTCTGTCTTTCTGCTGAGTGCACGCATCCTATAG